CAGGTCACGAAGGCCAAGGAAGGCAGGGCTGGCCCAGAGTGAGGCAGGGATGGGGCCTCCCAGGGCAGCTCGCGGAGCTGCCAAGACCGTCCTGGTGAGAGCGGGTGCTGGGCCGTGCTGCAGCCCTGGGGAGCCCGTCCTCAGTGGGTGCCAGTTTGGCAAGTGACCATCAAATAGTTCCAGAAAAAGACAAAATTCTTTCCTTCAGGGCCAGCAGGCGGCATAGTGGTTAAGGCGCTGAACTCCCATGTGGTCAACCCTGGTTTGAGTCCCGGACTCAGCAGCTTGAAACTCACACTAGGCATGTGTGTGTGTGTGTATGCCCGCCCAAAATCCCAAGAGGAGAAGAGACTGTGGCATGGCCATCCCCAGGGGGTGATTTCTCACTTTCCTCTTTGCTTCTCTAGTGAGTATGTGAGCCCTATAGCAAAAATCTTTTATTTTTGTAATTTTAATTTTTTTAGAAAAGTTCTTTCTCTCTTATTTTTAAAAAAGTTTTTGCGGGACCAGCAGATGGCATAAGGGTTACATTGCCGAACTCCCATGTGGTCGACCACAGTTCAAGTCCCAGACCCAGCGGCTTCAAACTTGCCTTGGGCATGTGTGCATGTATGCCCAAACTCCTGAGAGGAGAATGGAGGAGAAGGGATTGTGGCGTGGCCACTCCCCTGGCGGGTTCTCGCTTTCTGTCTGTCTGTCTCTCCGGCAAGTACACACACCCTGTAGCAAAAATCTTTCTCTAAAAAAAAAATGTAAGTTTTAGCTATAGGGCACTGTGTTTGCCAAGAGAGAGGGAAAGTGAGAAATCACCCCCTGGGGGGAGATGGACAAGCTGAAATCCCTTCTCCTCTAACCTCTTCTTGGAATTATGGGCACACACGCACACATGCCCAGTGTGTTTTTCAGGTCACCAGATTTGGGACTTGAACTGCCCACTGCCCTGTGGGATCCAGGACCTTAGCCCTCACCCTCCCTGCTGGCCCCTCAGCATTTCCACACCGTAATAAACTTGTGCCTCAATTCCATCCCCCACACATTTTCTAGTCCCCTGCTGTAGCCTACCAACGTCTTGGCCTCTCCTTTGGGCTTTTCTGTATTTATTTATAGATAGTTAGGTTTTTTCGTTGTTTGTTTTCAGGGTTATTTGTGCATGTATTTATTTATTTTTAGTTTTTGTCACAGGGCATGTGCACTTGCCAGAGAAAGACAGAGAGAGGGAAAGTGAGAACTCACCCCCGGGGTGGCCACACCACAGTACCATCTCTACCCTCTTCCAAGGATTCTGGGCACACACATGTTGCCAGCATGATTCATGATTTTCTTTTATTTTTTTTTAAGGATTTTGCCACAGGGTTCATACACTCACTAGAGAGAGACAAAGACAATGACAGAGAAAGTGAGAAATCACTCCCCAGGGGGGATGGCCATGCTGCAATCCCTTTTCCGTCTGGGATTTTGTGCATGCATGCACACGCGCCTGTCATAATTTTCAACTGCTAGGTCTGCGACTCAAACCGCTTTTGGTCATGGGGGAGTGGAGGAGTCCGACCCAGCGAGGCCCCAGGATCTGTCTGAGCCCCCCCAACCTTTGAGCTCCGCTTAGGTCGGATCAACATGATGGCAAGACCACTGTTGTGTGCCCCCCCACCTTGGAACAAAGCTTGGGTCATTTAGCATGTCAGCAAGGCTGTTTGCTATTTGCTCCAGAAAC